GGAACCCGTCAATATGAAGCGGTAACTATATTTTTATAATTACAGAATATTTTTCAATTAAATAAAAAAAACATAAAGGCAGGGCAGGCAGTATGACACAGCAGGTTAAGCTGCAGCTTGGGATGCCCATATCCCATACTGGAGCACCTGGGATGGAGTCCTCCCTCTGCCTTCAGAGCCAGCTCCCTGCTAATGGGCTTAGGAGTCAGAGGCTGATGGCTCAAGTACTTGGGCCCCTGCCACCTCGAGGGAGACTGGATGCAGTCCCACACTCCCAGCTTCAGCCTGGTCTAGCCCCAGATGTTGTGGGCATTTGGAGAGTGAAGCAGCAGATCTCAAGACGGATAGTGCTCTGTCTCTATCTCTATCTCCCCCTGCCCCAGCCCCCCATCACTCTGCCTTTCAAATAAATAAATAAATCTTAAAAAAAAAAAAAAGGGGTAAAGGCAACAGTAACCCTTGGCAGCCTGGTGTGTACTTTAATGTAGAATCCTTCAGCCAGGAGCTCTAAACCTGAGTGCCAGGCAAGAGACAAGGCAAAAACAGACTATTCTGAGACCAGAAGTCCAGGGGTCAAGGAATTTTTTTTATCAGTCTGGAGCTGAATCTGTAGGCATTGGATAGAGAAAGTACTTGTAGATGGTGATTATCACTTGTCATTTTCTAAACTGAGCTTTACAAGTCTATATCCAGCATATCAATATACATACTTCACAGCCTGTCTCTCTGTTGCTCATGGCTTTATGCCCAGTTCCTGAAACACAGGCAGGGACAGGTAAGAAAAGCACCTGCTGAATGAATGAATGAATGAATGAGAGACCCAACAGGCGTGCTGAGGGTGTCTTGGCAAATCCGCTCCCAGCTGGATCTTACCCACATGTCTCAGCTTTGAGATGTTCGCCTGTGACAATGAGAAAGTAAGAAAGGGGCCAGATGTGGAGCCTGAGCTCCCGCACATGCGTCAAGGGAAACAAATAAAAAACTGAAAGGCAAACTCTGAGCAGCTGGTGTCTGGTCTTGCCGGGGCCCCAGTGTTGCAGGAATCAACATTTGGACAGCTCCCGGCAAACATAGCTTTGGGTTCTGGTTGGGCAGAGCTACCTTCCTTCGCAAGCTGCAACTTCTAAATGAAATCTGGTCTTTATTCAGAGCGAGGCCCTTCTTCTCCTGAGGAAGAGGCCGGCCTGTGCCCAGGTCCCATCTGAACTCTGAGATGCCTGCTCCCTGCACAGCAGGTTCCACTCCACCCTGAGCAGCCTGGAGGCAGCTTTCTCCACCGGGACCTTCAGAGAGCAGCTGGCACCTGGAGCAGCCCAGGCAAGGGGGCACAAGCCAACTGTGCTTCTGCATGCAAATGTTCAGAGAATCAGGCCAGGCAGCTCCAGGACCTAGCTGGCTTGGAGATGGTCATGTCAAAATATCACAGCCAAAGTGACAGGCAGCAGAGGCTTGGCAAAGAACAGGCATTGTCTTCAGCTGGGAGGTAATGACACAAAGAGCACCAGGCTGTCAGTCTGCAGGCTTGTGCGGATGAGCCTGGCTCTGATTCTTAAAGCTACCAATGTTTTGGCAAGCCTGGGTCCTTCCCATCCCTTCATTTTCTCTATTGTAAAACAGAGACAAATTCACAGACAACACCTGCTTGCTTCCTCATGATGAACCCCGTAACACGGTAGCCATAGAGGAGAATGGGAATGAATACCACATGGCCCTTTCTCCCCAGGCTGACTGTAGCACGCCTGATCAGTGGCACAGGCCCAATATGGGGCCCAGCTCTGCAGAAGCCCTTGGTGACATGGCCGCTGGGTGCACCTGGCCCACAAGGTCTGATCCACACTCACCCATCAGTCTTCACTTCTTGATGTCAGTTCAGGCCTTGCCTCACCAGGACCACAGCAGCAAGCCCCTCTTGTGCTACCCACTGGGACAACTCACGCATCCCAGAACCTCCAAGCTCCTTGCCTAATGCATTGGGCCACCACTTGTCCACCAGCATTTACTGCCTAATGACCAACCATGATATCCTTCTCCAAAAAGCTCTTTGTCCTAAAAACTCAGCCTGCATTCTTTAGCTTGGCTTTAGAGAGCCTGCAAGCTGTCCCCAGCCCACCTTCACAGCCTCCCTGGGTCTCTACGCCTTTGCTTTGCAGCCCTGGGCCTCAATGGCTGGCCCTCCACTCCGACAGGGGCTCCTTCTCTGCTCGCATGGCTCACTGGCTGGGGAAGGATCTCCTCTCCTCTGACCTTCAGGATCCTAACTCCCAGTTCAAAGTTCAACTTGGAAAAGCTATATGACTTATTCAATGCTCTTCACAGCTTCCGGCCTGCTGGGCAGACCTTTCATTGTCTCCAAGCTCAGGAATGCTGTCGTTTTTGATATCTTCTTAACCATTGAGCACATGCTCAGACCATCTCAAGATGCAAGTTTCGGTTCAGAGCCTTCCTCCCCCTGAAGCACTGTGAAGACGTCTATGACCCCCTCTCCTTTCTCCTCCCCTCCCCACACACCCCATACACAAAGACACACACGTAGTTCCTGGCATTTACCCTCCAGATAGTCCCTAAATAACCTGTAAATGTGGGATAGCAGAATCAGTATCATTCCTGGTTTTCCACAGCCCAGAGGTGGTGCCCAGTAACTCCTAGCTGGTGCAGAGGGAGGTAATTAGAACTGTCTATGTGGGCCACGTGGGAGGAGCGAGTGTCACATGCTGCTCTTCTGTCACCATCACCACCGTATACACAGAACGCAGGGCTTCCACTGAGCCCCAGGTGGACGCCAGCCCCAGAATGCCACCTCTGCAAGTTTCCAATGCAGGGCCCACTCCCCCATGAGGCCCCTTCCAAAAGTTCATGGAAAACACACATAACCTTTGTATGTCACTTTCCACGAGCTTTTGGAAGGACCCTCACACAGCATGAAAGAGAAGTGGAGACATCAGTGGACGGTCAGCCGGCGGGACACACAGCAGGGGCCACAGAGCAGTCAGCAGCAAGTCACCTTCCAGTGCTCGTTAGACATGGTCTCCCGCGGGCCTGAGTCGCCCCCACTCGCTGTCTTCTGCATGCAGGAACCGACCTCGCCCATGTCTCTCTCCTCCGCCAGTGTGGGGAGCAACTGAGACTAGACTAAGTTATTGGAATTAAGACTTATTCTATGCATCTGATCTCCCACAATATGGCGCTGAGAGAGAGACCAAACAACTTCTACACAGCTGCCTCCAGTTCGACCAATAAACTGCAGGAGCTGATCCTGCTCCTGATTGGAGGAGAGCAGCGTACTCGGCGTGTGGGTAGCAGAGTTGGGATTGGTGGAAGAGGACTATAAAGGAGGAGAGAGACAACATGCACCAGGAACACCTGAGCAACATCTGAGCAGCCCCCGAGAGAGCCGGCCGGCAGTGTGCCGCTCCTCCACGGAAGCGGGGAAAGCGGCGGGGGGTGCCGCCCCCTCCACGGAGGTGGAGGGGCCAGCAGCTAACCCAGGATGGCGTCGTTCCTCCGCGAGTGAGGGAACGGCAGCTAACCCGGGAAGGGCCGAGCAGACAAAAGAACAGTGCAGGGTCCAGTGGCATTCCTCCGCAAATGGGGGAGCGACAGCCAGAATCCCAACTTCCAAGCTCTACGCTTCCTTGCCACTAGCTGACATCAGCCAGACCTTTCTGGAGACTCAGCGCCGTCCCTCGGGGACACTCGCCTGTCCTCCCGGCTCTCTGGCCTGCTCCTTTGACTCCTTGACCGTGGCATTCAGCGCCTGTCTTTCCTGCAATCAGTTTGAGAGGAATTTCTCCAAAACGCAGCAGAGAGTTCATTCCAGGAGGGGCCCTGGTCAGTGAGCTCCTGCCATCTCCCTCCATCCACAATGACCTCTTCCACGGCTTTGGGCTGAAGCGACGGCATCCATTTTCCACTGTTCTTACCTGACCTTGGGACCACCCTGCCATCAGGACGCCCCCACTCACCCTATCTATGGGTCTGATGGCTCTTGACAGAGTATCAGCTGCAGGCCCAGTGAGGGTGGCCCATACAGGACAGTTTCCATCCAGGATCACAGACAAATGCCCTGTATACAGACTCCTTCTCAGAGAAACTGCTGGCCCAGGACAAACTTAAGAAAGCTGATGGGCAGGGCACCACGGGGCAGCAACCCATCCAGTGGCAGAGGCATGAGCCCAGCTACGGTGACCAACGCGCTCCTGTTTGCTCAGAACTTTCCCAGTCTTTGCACCCTGTCCCAGGTACACCTCAGTCTGGGGCAAGTTAGGATAGCTGGTCACTAGAAGCCGGCCTACCCACGTTCCTTGCCAAAGCCCAGGACTCAAAAGGCCAGCCAGTGAAGCCAATCTCCACTCAAGCAGATCAGAAAGAAGCAGGAAACGCACCCAGAGGCAGGATGGGCCTTGGCTATGGATGGTTCTGGAAGAAACTTCATCAGAAACCAGGGTATGCGAGCAATGCTCCAAGCTTCACCATCCCATGAATGGGGACCACCACCAAGGGCAGGATCCAGGCCAGAGACTCAGAAACTACCCAAGAGAAGCCCTTTGCCTGGTCTCCAGAATACAGCAGTAATATCCCCCAGACAGCCACCACACACACACACACACACACACACAGCTCCCTGGACCCCAGATTTATTGGGCTTCCATAAGTTTCTGGTAAACATTTCCTCGATCTCCCTTTTGCATCAAAAGAGTCAAGCTGTGTGTGTGTGTGTGTGTGTGTGCGTGCACACATGTGTGTATACACATGTGTATACCTATACACACAAGTGTGTGTACCTATCTGTACACCATCTCAACAGAACCCCTCTGCCCACAACACTGGCCCACTCTCCACCAATCCCTCCAAAAACCACTGGCATAGGAGTCCATGGAGAACACCACGACCCGTGGGGCTGTTTATGCCCCCCTCTCAACAGCCAGTGGCCCGGAGAACATCACTCAGAGTCCACAGAGCGAGCGCGGCCCAGCGGGCAGTGGGTGGGGCTGAAGACTCACCAGGACTCTGCCAGTCAGCGTCTGGGCGGATATCATCACTCCCGCCCAGTCCTTCACGGAGGTCATCCAGCCGACCTCGGCCGCCACCGCCTCCTCTTTCTCGTCCACTGGCTTGAGGGTGCCGTCCGCCTGACTCGAGCCATTGTTAATCTTCTGGGCCTCCTGGCAACAGAGAGAATGAGAGTTGAGACACGAGGAACAGGTGACTTTACATAACACACCCATCCCATGCAGAATCAAGACCCAAAGGGGCATCTGGCGGGGCTGAGAATTGGCTCAAAGGTCCAGGGGAGGGAGAAGGGGCAGAGTCTGGCTTTGGCCCTATTTTCAGTTCTTTGAAAAGGAATCATGGCCGGCATATGTGGCACAGCGTGTTAAACTGCCTCTCACGATGCTCGATCTCACACGGGAGTGCCAGTTTGAATCTTCGCTGCTCCACTTCCAATCCGGCTCTGTGCTAATGCACCTGGGAGAGCCGTGGAGGATGCCCCAAGCGCTTAGACCCCTGCCACTCACACGGGAGAACTGGATGGAGTTTCAGGACTTGACCTGGTCCAGCCCCAAATATAACAGCCTGAGTGACCCAGGAGATGGAAGAGTCTTTCTCTCTCTCTCTCCCCCTCCCTTTCTCTCTATAATCTACCTTTCAAATAAACAAGCAAATAAATAAATATTTAAAAATATGAATGTTTTATTTCTTCTGTGATAGTAAGAAGGATGATATTATTCTCTTCCCATTTTAAAGAAAAAAAAAAGCCTCAAAGCTCAGAAGAGAAGTCCCCATCCGGGGTCTCAGAGCTGTTAGGAGAGAGGTGTGGCCTCTGCCTGCCCAGCCTCCGTGCCCCCCTCACAACAGCACCCTCACTTTTTTTTTTATTTTTTGACAGGCAGAGTGGACAGTGAGAGAGAGAGAGAGACAGAGAGAAAGGTCTTCCTTTTGCCGTTGGTTCACCCTCTAATGGCCGCTGCAGCCGGCACACTGCAGCCGGCACACCACGCTGATCCGATGGCAGGAGCCAGGTGCTTCTCCTGGTCTCCCATGCGGGTGCGGGGCCCAAGCACCTGGGCCATCCTCCACTGCACTCCCTGGCCACAGCAGAGAGCTGGCCTGGAAGAGGGGCAACCGGGACAGAATCCGGCACCCCGACTGGGACTAGAACCCGGTGTGCCGGCGCCACAAGGCGAAGGATTAGCCTAGTGAGCCGCAGCGCCGGCTTAGCACCCTCACTTTCAAGGAATTTCCATCTCCTCATCTCAGCCCGTGCGGTGCAACAAGCCCCACACCGGCTCCAGCCATCAGTCCATCCTATCCCCTGGCAAGAGTGACTGGGCCAGGGCTGGTCCCCCGGCCCCTGCCAACCCTGTAAGCCTGGCAGCCCTGCTGGAAAGAGCAACAAAAGTGATCCTTCCCTGAAAATGAAGCTACTTCAGAGGAAAGTAGTAACAGAACACTGGGGGCATCATTCGAATACCTGGCTCCAGCTCTGCCTGAAACCCACACCAGGGCTTTCCAGGTACAGGAAACAATAAATGCCCTTTCATAGCTGAAAGTCGCTTAGGGAAACAGGGTGGAGGTCACTAGATAATGGAGCTCCCGCACGGGGTCCTAAATTGTGCCACTCTGCACACGGCGTTGCCCTTAGCCTGCAATGCTCTTCTCTCTGAGGCTCCCTCAAGCCTCGGTCCAATATCATCTTCTGGATACGGTCTCGCCTCTTAAAGTCACAATCCCTTCCTCCCAACAGCATCTTGCTGCTGCACTTTCTCGGTAGCACTCACCTCTAACACACTAGGTAGCTCACCACTTAACTCACTAATGATCTGGGCTCCCCCACTCAGGTACCCCAGTGCCTGACAGCACACCTGGCACAAAGGGGACTCAGGAACCAGGAACGGATGCTTCAAAGGGGGCCACGGCGGCAAATCACAAGAATCCCAGCTGCCTCTGAATTCTACACAAGCAGCCAAACGTTTGTCCCAAATAGTACTCACCTATCCTACACACTTACTCGCCGTGTATGGAACACTTTAATCTCGCTGAACCCTTACTCAAATGCCAAAATGTGATGATTACTGCCGATAAAGACGGTGGAAGACATGCCAGCCAAATAGGTTCGTCACTTAAAACTCCAGAATTCACTTCCAAAGCAAATCCCCCCACCCCCCCACCCCAGGACCCCTTGTGCCTGTGAGTGAGGGGAGAAAGCCCAGGCAGAGGTGACAGCTCTGTCTTCAGGGAGTTGGGGCAGGGCAGGTAAGGCAAGGAGAGTGTGGGCGGCAGGGGGACCCGGCCAGGCAGACAGGAAGCTGCTCCTGATGCCTGGATGTCTCTGGCTGCCCCTGCCCCGGCGAGCCTGGAAGAGAGGTAGCACCTACACGCTGTGTTAAGGCCCCGTGCAGCTGGAATGAAGAGGAGGCCCAGGAGGGGGCAGCCACAGGCAGGCAGAGTCGGGCCATCTAGTGTGTGTGGGCCCCAGCTCCCCAGCCTCCTAGCTCCATCCACGGCGATCTCTTAGGATTTGTCCCCATCCCGAGACTCAGCCATGTGAGACTCTCAGCAGGTGGGCGTCCAGGATGAGGCAGAGCCCCTGACCCAGGAGCAGCCACAGTAGCCAGAGGTGTCCACCCCGGCACCCATAGATTGGCGACAGTCTTGCCCCCTATAGGCAGTGGCAGGATCAAGCAATACTCAGGGCTCCTGGTCCTCGTGCCATCCCCCCACCCACAGCCCTGCCTCTGATGCAGCTTCCAAGTCTGAGCGGACACCAGAGGCACAGGGTGCTGGGCCCACCCCTGAACCCGTTTTTCCACCAAATGCCCAGGTAAGGCCAATGCTGCTAGCCTGGGGACCCCACTTTGGGAACTACAGCTCCTGCCCATCCTGATACAGCACGAGTCTGCCCTTCTCTGAAACGGAGCGTGGATCTTAACCCCTGGCTCTCTCCCAGCCTCTTCATCCATCCAGGGACAGGACTGCCTGCTTCTCTCAGAAATGCACAGTACAGAGGACACAGGGGAGACACTGGGGCAGGGGAAACCTCCCATCAGAGGTTCTTGGGTTTCTCTTTGAGGACAGCCTCACAGAGAGGCTTCCTGAACTGGTCCCTGGAGGGCTAATGCCCCAGCTCCTGCACCCTGGGGGCCCCCACTCCACAGCACCTGGCAGTCCCTGGAGCAGGGAACTCAGCATGCAAAAGCTGGGAAGTAGAGAGTCCCCTGCAGCCACGGTGGGGCCAACCAACACATCAATAATTCACAGCGCAGAGGTAAACGGCAGATAACACTGTTTTGCCGGCCTTTTTACCTATTGTTTCTCAAGGCATTCATTACTTTAATTACTCTATGATAGGCAAGGAAAAACACAGACTACAAGGAGATAATGCCCTTGTTATTATTTGCACATGCTGGGTGTGAGCTTAATGAGCAGTGTGGGAAGCACACTGGTGACTGCGGACAGCAAGCCCCAGCCGCAGGAAGGGTGATGCCCGCGGCCAGGCTGGACAGGGCACTCACCTCGTGCTGCCCAAAGCATCCCTGCTCAGCGGCAGCCGTCAGAACCCCACGCTCCAGAGGAGAGAGGGCAGGAGGGCCAGAGCATCCAGCGACCTCGCCGCGACAGGCAGGATTTGCATGTCGTTAGTCATGGTTAAATAGTGGTAGGGACAGAGCCCATTATCACAGAGATGGCCACCATTTATCAAGCCAGAACTGGGTGCCAGCAACAAACAATTAAGCGTTTCTTGCACTATCTACCTTTGGCCTTGTGATAGACCCCACGGGGAGGTGGCATTGTGCCCATTTCACAGACAGGGCCACTGATGGCAAACACCTCTCAGGGGAAGGCCCAGAGCTCCCCTCGGCTCAGGTCTGCTCTGCCACTTCCAAACTGACCACCATGGGGATGTAATGCATGAGCTGAGCCTCCTCCAAGGGAAACGGGGACAACCCCATCACCCCGTTCCGGCAGTGGGGCACTCATGCAAGTGAGCAATGTGGTCACAGCTGTGGTGACAGAGCACACCTCCCCCAGCAGGCATCTGGTTAAATCGGCACCCCTGCTGGTCCTGCAAAGGACAGTGGCCCACGTGAGCCTCACCACATAATGCTGCACAGAGCATCGACACAGGAGGTTCTAGCGGCTGGGACCCTGCTACTAGGCAAAGAACTCGCAAGGCCAGGAGCCTGCCTTCCGCAGGCTGCGCTTGTGAAGGTCCCAGGCAGGACAGCTGGGGGAAGGACTCCCACAATGAGCAGGCCCAAACCAAGTCTCCCGACTCCAAGCTCAGTCACTAGACCAACCTCCCATTTTCAAGGTGAAGAGACTGAGGGCCACAGGGAAGCAGCCTGTCACCCTGCGCAGTTTCCTCTGCAGCCCCGACCTGCAACCTGGGGCCCAGGGCATTTCTAGCATTGGTAGACGGCCCTGCCTGGCCTGGTACTGGGTTCAGGTGTAGGGACGAAAGCAGGAAGCACCCCACCTGTCTTCCAAGAGCCCAGCAGTGAGGGCTGCCCTGAGCTGTCCTCACATCCTACTTCCCCTGACTCACACATCTGGGCTGTGTCTTAGTCCCTCACCCTTCCTGTTTGGGCCTGGTTCCTGAAGCATCTCAGATTGGTGGGGAGGCAGGAAGAGCTCTGGGAACAAAAGACACCCAAGTCCAAGTGCAGCAGTTTTGAGCGGCTTGAGCAAGTTTATTCTTTTCTCAAAGCCTCTGTGTTCTCTCCTGCGAATGGATGAGCACTGCCTTGGCTCCCTGCTCAGCTCTGGTAAGAACCCTAGGCTGGGGGGAGGCGGCAGTGCTGTGGCATGGTGGGCTAAGCTTCTGCCTGCAGCGCCAGCATCCCGTATGGGCACCAGATCAAGTCCTTATTGCTCCACTTCCCATCCAGCTCTCTGCTATGGCCTGGGAAAGCAGTAGAAGATGGGTCCCTGCACCCATATGGGAGACCCAGAAGAAGCTCCTGGCTCCAGATCAGTTCTGCTCCAGACATTGTGGCCATTTGGGGAGTGAACCAGAGGATGGAAGACCTTTATCTCTGTCTCTCCCTCTCTCTGTCTATAACTCTACCTCAAAAATAAATAAAATCTTAAAAAAAAAATAGAACCCTAATTTGGTAGAGCTCAGCACTTCCTGAGAGCACCAGCTTCCTGGGGAGGTGGA